ATCACTATTGCATGATATGTGTTTGATAAGCTTATTACTATACAATATCGTGTGTTATTATTAGTTATTAACAGTTATTAGTTGTGTAATTATGTCCTTGTACATATGTCTGTCAATGTCTGTCATTACTACTAGTCTCTAGACATATATGACTCATATAACGTAAACAATATCATGATTCTCTATTATGGTATGAATACTATTGTCATATCATATAGTTTTCGGAATGGTTGTAAAATATGTTCAAATCACTATTGATGGTATCCCATGAGTCTACCACATCACTCCGTGGCGAGTTCCCCTCCCGAGTCGAGGTCCCAACTTCACAAAGGGCTGTGGCTCGGCTTCGCCTGACAAACGCTCTGATCCGAGATTACAAATGAATGGAAAAGAGATTTTTCCATGGTGTTTCTCTGGTTTCCTACATGGCCTTTGGAGGCTAACTTTAACATTAACCACCAGAAACCGCTCCAGCCTGCAGGGACCTCTAAGTGTTCCTCCCGAAAGTTCTTCACCACACCAAAGAGGTTCTGGCAGACCGAGGCAATGCTCAGTGCGTGAAGATGCTGTCAGATTTCATGGGCTTGGAAATTTGGGGTCTATTTTCAGACAAACCCATGATTGGCCGGATTCAAAATTTTTGAATCCCAATCGATCCCAAATCCGAAAATCTCAATCTCAGAAAGCTGTGTCAAAATTACCGACTTCATTTTGCCAAACAGAGATGGGAGGTCAAAACGCATGATACCATATTTGGAGTCTGAACATCCACAGATCCTATCGATTTTGTGTATTGTTGGGGTCGTATCAATTGGCTCTCCTGTGCAGAGGCTTCAGCCCCATGCAATCGAACCTCAGGTGTCAGGCAAAAAAAACAAGTGGGACAAGTTTGGTGCCGTGAAGAAATGGATACGGAGTGTGGCTTCGTCAAGGGAAGTCCGGCCAAGAAAACACAAATGGTATGCTCCACTTTCTGATTGTGTTTGAAGTGTTGTCTGCCTGATAAAGTCTACAGATGGGAGTCGCTCTGTTCGCTTCTTTTAATCCGTTGATGATGGAAAGATCAATCTTGGTATAGAAAAATTGAAGGACATCCTTCTTAGAAGATCGTTGGACTGGGTGTTCTTATCTCACGGGACGAAAAACATGCCACAACATACAACTAGCGAAGGAACATTTACAGTCCTAATGTAAGCCCGGCATTAATAAACCCCAGTTTGTCAAATATGGTCTCACCTCAAAGACTATAAAAACTGCTGGCTCCCCTTATCAACTATCATGTACGTCATGACCTCGAGCGAAGTGGTTGTACTTCATCCAGGATTAACCTCATCATATCCCCATTACAGTATATCTCATTGCATCCCGTGATATCACCATTATAGTCCCACTATATCTCGTTATATCAGCATAAATTATGCCCAAAGAATCGGGATGGTTCCCCTGTAGTGTTCCAGGAATCTGATGATCTCCCATCTCTCAGCGCTGAACAGCCCAGGATTCTGAAGGTGGATCCCAGGCGGTGACGACGCCTGGAAAGTCATCCAAAATGTGTCTTTTGACCCATGGAAAAGTATTTTAGAAAAAATGTGATGCTAATTCTCAACAGATGCAAACATCTTCAAAATTGGGATGTTCATTCTTTCACCGATAGGGAAACATATTTTAATTGGGATGTTCATCTTAAACCATGGAACAATCTTTAAACACTTGATCACTTGATATAGTAAGTCTTAACACATGGGAAGTATGTCTTTGCAAATGGGATGTTAACCCACAGCTTAGGAGATCAAAAAGTTTCAAAGATTTGCAGAATTGGGCATCTATGCCATCCAAAATGTGTCTTTTGACCCATGGATAAATCTTTAAACAGGTGGTATGGTGATTCTTTAACTCATGGGGAAACATCCTTCAATTGGGATGTTCATCTTAAACCATGGAACAATCTTTAAACATAGGATGCTAATTCTGAACCCACATCTTTTAATTGGGATGTTAATTCTTACACCATGGAACAATCTTTAAACATGGGATGCTAATTCTGAACCCATGGAAGCATCTTTTAATTGCGATGTTAATTCTTAAAACCATGGAACAATCTTTAAACACGGGATGCTAATTCTGAACCCATGGAAGCATCTTGTAATTGGGATGTTAATTCTTAAAACCATGGAAAAATCTTTAAACATGGGATGCTAAGTCTGAACCCATGGAAGCATCTTGTAATTGGGATGTTAATTCTCAAAACCATGGAACAATCTTTAAACATGGGATGCTAATTCTGAACCCATGGAAGCATCTTTTAGTTGGTATGTTAATTCTTAAAACCATGGAACAATCTTTTAACATAGGATGCTAATTCTGAACCCACATCTTTTAATGGGATGTTAATTCGTACACCATGGAACAATCTTTAAACATGGGGTGCTAATTCTGAACCCATGGAAGCAACTTTTAATTGCGATGTTAATTCTTAAAACCATGGAACAATCTTTAAACATGGGATGCTAATTCTGAACCCATGGAAGCATCTTTTAATTGGGATGTTAATTCTTAAAACCATGGAACAACCATGGAACAATCTTTAAACAATTGGGATGCTAATTCTGAACCCATGGAAGTATCTTTTAATTGGGATGCTAATTCTTAAAACCGTAAAACCATGGAAACATCTTTAAACATGGGATGCTAAGTCTGAACCCATGGAAGCACCTTTTAATTGGGATGTTAATTCTCAAAATCATGGAACAATCTTTAAACATGGGATGCTAATTCTGAACCCATGGAAGCATCTTTTAATTGGGATGTTAATTCTTAAAACCATGGAAAAATCTTTAAACATGGGATGCTAATTCTGAACCCATGGAAGCATCTTTTAATTGGGGTGTTAATTCTTAAAACCATGGAACAATCTTTAAACATGGGATGCTAATTCTGAACCCATGGAAGCATCTTGTAATTGGGATGTAAATTCTTAAAACCATGGAAAAATCATTGAACATGGGATGCTAATTCTGAACCCGTGGAAGCATCTGTTAATTCTTAAAACCATGGAAAAATCTTTAAACATGGGGTGCTAATTCTGAACCCATGGAAGCATCTTTTAATTGGGATGTTAATTCTTAAAACCATGGAACAATCATTAATCATGGGGTGCTAATTCTGAACCCATGGAAGCAT